GACTTGGAAATTATCTGATGACGTCAGACTCATTCTGAACAGGTTGCAGCCTACCAGGATACTTGGTTTTCTTTCCCTTGGCATGTGCGCTGGTGTAAGCATAAACGCACATGTACAACGGAACATTTAAATGAGGATTTATGCTAGGATCACTTAAGGGTCCGAGCAAAATACCAGCCTTGGTAAAGTTGAAACATTTACCCTGAAGCCATTTGACTCTACAGCTACCTTAAATCACCAGTTTCTCCCCAGAGGTCCATAGGTCATCCCTGTAGACTGTCCGAAGCTAGTGCCTTACAGCTGTAGACTTATCATGTAGTTATCAACTTAGGATAGTGCCTAAGCAACACACCGCAAAGTAGGAACACCCTAGATATGACAGACACAATGCCATGATAGAGTAATTTAGCCAAGACCGTGGACGTATATAGAATATAGTCCAATTAGATGATTAAGGTGTGGTAACTATATTTTGTATATCTTTTGTTTGTGTTTTTGTTAATTTTTACTTTCATTTTCTTTGACTTAGGAAGTGATAGTGCCACAAACAAGTTTCCCCAGACGACCACCAGTTAGTGTCACAACGCCGCTCGTTTGAGGAAGAAATGTAATTATGTATTTTGTGAGCGTTGTGCTTGTTAACATCTGCCTAAGTTACTGCCTAGATCTACCAGCCTGGACAACCGGACGACGGGTCCGGAACGGTGATCCCCAATCAGGACATCCCCTGGCCATTCCTACCAGGGTAAACCACCAAAGGGGGACCGCAACGACGATCCACAACCAGGACATCCTGTGGTCATTTTTATGGTGGGTTGCATCTTGCAGAATCCTTCCAAGGTTGAACCCACCAGAAGGGGACTGTCATGACTCTCCTGGGTGAGGGTCAAAGTCCTCAGATCAGCTTGGCAAATGGCTGACAACAACCAGACCCTCTTACCCACAGAAGAGAGGAGGGGGGGAGGAGGAGGCTGTGCTCATCTTGATACCTTAACACTCTGCCATAAATTAGAGAGGAGGATAATCTGTGGCCCTCTAGTATGGTGAAAGGAATGTGCTTTGTCTCCAGAAGATTTTGCCGCCAAAACGTTTACGTCCAAAAAGTAAACACTGGAACAATATTCCTAACATCCGAATGTTTGGAATGGTCAGTGGGGATCTAAAGACTAATCATGTCATATTGTTTATTATTTTGTGATGCCATTAAAAATATAATATCGCAAATACTGTAATTTTGAAAGTATACACTTTTTCTGTCAAGTTTACATCCAATATGTTGTGTATATAATATGGAGAATTACGAGAGTATTTTTGTTAAGATAGGAATGTGATTTTAGTTTTCGAACGAGATCATAGGTTTTCATATAAGCTATGCACGGTGACTAGACACGCCCGAGTGAGCTCAGAGACCGTGTCAGCAAGTAGGAATGCCCCTTTTACCAGAGTGCATAAAAAGCCTTGGTAACAAAATGTACATTAGACGAGAAAGCGTGGAGCTGCGGCTACACAGCTGAAAATGATTAGAACTTTGAATCTCAACGCGAGGTGAAGAAGATAAACTCACTAGACCAGAACATTGCCAGTCTGCAGCTATGCGTGTAAAGTGATCTAGAACTTTGACTAAAGACACGAGGTGAGAAGGAGAAAATCCCATCTCAGACAATCATTAGAATGCATCGGAGTATCTGTTCTATTTGAACACTCCACTCCAAGCCAGGACAACTAAGAAGGACATTGTGACCTCTGGTGGACAAGCAGAGCCTTACACCAAAACGGGACACTAAAACCTACCCCTTCCCATAGAAGGCTTGATTAGTTTCAACGGCGAGACGACGAACAAAGACATAACAAAGACATCTACACGTACAGTTGAAGTTGGAAGTTTACATACACTTAGGTTGGAGTCATTAAAACTAGTTTTTCAACCACTCCACAAATTTCAAACTATAGTTTTGGCAAGTCGGTTAGGACATCTACTTTGTGCATGACAAGTAATTCTTCCAACAATTGTTTAGACATGATTATTTCACTTATAATTCACTGTATCACAATTCCAGTGGGTCAGAAGTTTACATACACTAAGTTGAACTGTGCCTTTAAACAGCTTGGAAAATTCCAGAAAATGATGTCATGGCTTTAGAAGCTTCTGACAAGCTAATTGACATCATTTGAGTCAATTGGAGGTGTACCTGTGGATGTATTTTAAGGCCTACCTTCAAACTCAGTGCATCTTTGCTTGACATCATGGGAAAATCAAAAGAAATCAGCCAAGACCTCAGAAAGAAAATGGTAGACCTCCACAAGTCTGGTTCATCCTTGGGAGCAATTTCCAAACGCCTGAAGGTACCACGTTCATCTGTACAAACAATAGTACGCAAGTATAAACACCATAGGACCACGCAGCCGTCATACCGCTCAGGAAGGAGACGCGTTCTGTCTCCTAGTGATGAACGTACTTTGGTCCGAAAAGTGCAAAGCAATCCCAGAACAACAGCAAAGGACCTTGTGAAGACGCTGGAGGAAACAGGTACAAAAGTATCTATATCCACAGTAAAACGAGCCCTATATCGACATAACCTGAAAGGCCGCTCAGCAAGGAAGAAGCCACTGCTCCAAAACCGAAATAAAAAAGCCAGACTACAGTTTGCAACTGCACATGGGGACAAATATCGTACTTTTTGGAGAAATGTCCTCTGGTCTGATGAAACAAAAATTGAACTGTTTGGCCATAATGACCATCGGTATGTTTGGAGGAAAAAGGGGGGCGCTTGCAAGCCAAAGAACACCATCCCAACCGTGAAGCACGGGGGTGGCAGCATCATGCTGTGGGGGTGCTTTGCTGCAGGAGGGACTGGTGCACTTCACAAAATAGATGGCATCATGAGGAATGAAAATGATGTGGATATATTGAAGCAAAATCTCAAGACATCAGTCAGGAAGTTAAAGCTTGCTCGCAAATGGGTCTTCCAAATGGACAATGACCCCAAGCATACTTCCAAAGTTATGGCAAAATGGCTTAAGGACAACAAAGTCAAGGTTTTGGAGTGGCCATCACAAAGCCCTGACCTCAATCCTATAGAAAATGTGTGGGCAGAACTGAAAAAGTGTGTTCGAGCAATGAGGCCTACAAACCTGACTCAGTTACACCAGCTCTGTCAGGAGGAATGGGCCAAAATTCACCCAACTTATTGTGGGAAGCTTGTGGAAGGCTACCCGAAACGTTTGACCCAAGTTAAACAATTTAAAGGCAATGCTACCAAATACTAATTGAGTGTATGTAAACTTCTGACCCACTCGGAATGTGATGAAAGAAATAAAAGCTTAAATAAATCATTTTCTCTACTATTATTCTGACATTTCACATTCTTAAAATAAAGTGGTGATCCTAACTGACCTAAGACAGGGAATTTGTACTAGGATTAAATGTCAGGAATTGTGAAAAACTGAGTTTAAATGTATTTGGCTAAGGTGTATGTAAACTTCCGACTTCAACTGTAAATGCATTCATGACTTCTTACCCAAACGGGCGGTAGTTCGTTATGATTACTTTGAGGGTAGCTTCCAAATGTATCAACGATAAGTTTGACTCTCTCTTTGTCTCTCCCTCCCTCTTTTGATAACCAAGCAGTCATGCTGTTCTTAGTCCGCTAGTGACTTTTTCTCATGTATTAAGTATGTATGAATTCTGTGTTTTTATTTAGTTAGTAAATAAATAAGACAATTTCTGTAGTGCTGAATGATAAGTAAAGCTGGGGTTCTTGCGGATCCAAGAATTCTGCAACCATTCAGAATGACGACTGATAAGAGGTAATGATTGATATGTTGACTGTTTTATACATTTGATAGGTAAAGACCTTTTAGAGTTTAATTCGGGAGATGGTAACTCTATAAACAACTTATTCCGTGGTGCCCCAAATCCTAATGAGTTAATTGTTACATTATTAATTTAAATCGAGTAACAATTAAACATAGTTGATTCGAAAAATAACAGTCATCATATTAATGAAAGTCACGTCACGACAGCACTGTAGGGCCATTATAATTTCTACACAGTTTCGATTTGGTTATAGTCATTTTAAAGTATATTGCGTTAGTCCCCCCCCCCTAACAATTCACAGGCCGTATGTTTGACACCCCTGCTCTATAGCTTTTTAAGTAGTTGATGTTAAACTTGAATCAAAATAACTGAATTCATCTTGATTTAGCTCAATGATTCCCATCTTATCTATCCATGGTGAATGCCTAGTCAGCCTTACCTCTTGAATACAAGTCTGAGGACACATAAATCGAAAAGTCATTAAAAATGTTTTAATAAAGATCAGAAAACATACACTTAAAAGAATCAGATGAATCAACTTTCACTTTTGCATTTGTTACACATCTGGCCACGACAGACGCTGTCAATTTAAAACATTAGGTCTAAAAGCCTGTGTAACCAACTGTGTTATTTATTGAACCTCTGAAAGTGCAATGACATAGTTGGCCATTCACAAGGCCTGGCAAAATGAGCAGAAGAACAGTGTTTAGTTTGGCAACACTAAAGGCCAGTTTCCCAGCCCCAGTGGTCTCTCAATGGAGAAACGTCATTGAGAGTGTTTTTTAATCCAGGAATATGTTTAATCTAGGTCTGGCCTCTTTAACAGGGTCCTTACATGTTACATAGTCTATTCCACTGCATTACACTAACTAGCACAGTGTAATGAAAATGAGGATACAGCTCTAGTGAACCAAGCGACGCCTGACCTCAGGGTGCTCCAAATGAAGCACGGTGACTAACTTGCTAATTCCTTGAACTCCCTCTCATTAAATACCTTGCAATGTAACTGTTCGAAAAGCTCACCACAACGTAGTCTAAAGTCTTTCGTAATTTTTCTTTCTGGCATTGCGAGCAGCAAAGCATTACAATATTATTGGTTAGCAGAACCGAGTTAGCCTTTAGCAGCTAGCTAACTGAGTTAGCCTTTAGTGGCTAGCTAACTGAGTTAGCCTTTAGCGGCTAGCTAACTTGCGCTCTTCTCCGAGGTCTCCATGCGCGATTCCTTCAGCGGTCTGCTGCGGGGCGAGGTGGCGGCGTCTCCATCTCCCTTCTCCTGGTCGGGGGTGGATAGGTGCTCCAGCTCGTAGCGACCGTTCAGGTCCCCCGGCCGGACATGGTTGGAGGTCTTCTTGTGCTCCCGGATCTGGGCCAGCTGGTGGCCGGCATAGTCGGGCTTTGCGGTGAGGGGCCCCACCGGGACATCCACGCCCAGGATGTCGACCACCATGTAGGGCCGCAGCCAGCCCACCAGAGGGGTGCTGCCGGGGGTGTAGTGGGTCTGCCGGTGGTAAAACAGAAGTCCGTCCACCTGAGGACACACAGACTCCACTCAGTTTGGGCTTGTGACAGTAACAGCTGCCTCATCAAGCCCCTGGAGAGCTCCCTCTGTCTCACCTCTAACCTCAATGGTGGGCAGCAAGCAGCAAAACAGACTCTAGAGGTTGAGAAAGGAACTAGATGTTCTATTGGGAGCTATAAGTTGAGAGATGGAGCATTGGACCGGGAAACCCAGACTAGCAATGTGTGTTCATTCTATGAAGTACACTTCATGCTTTCCCAAGAGTGTCAAGAGGCAAACAGAAGATATTCACTCTACTGAAGAATCACAGACTGTTCTGCCCCTTTTACAGAGGACAAGTAAAATCACAGATGTACTATAGGAAGTAAATAGCTGCATTTGCAGTAGTATGCAGTTGCTCTTACATTGAAGTTGTACTCAGTTGCAAGTGCTTGCTGTATGGCTTCTGTTGAGCAGGCAGTGCTTTGAAGACTCACAAACTTGAACTATGGAGAAAAAAACAAACAGACAGGCAACCATATTACATTTACATTTTAGTCATTTAGCAGACGCTCTTATCCAGAGCGACTTGCAGTTATTGTCAGACAGCACACAGGCCACAGTTAATTGATAATCTAATGACAATTTCACCATCTTTCCACAATCTCACGACTACACTTTTTTCATTTAAATACATTTTAAACTGCATGTGTTCGCGGTCATGGTCAAATCAAAATAAACATGGAAAAGGAGGTGACATCTTTTGTCTTTTTTGTGCCTCAATTCATCCTCATTTGGACTAAACTGAAAAGGGCTATATACAATATACAGTGGGGAGAACAAGTATTTGATACACTGCCGATTTTGCAGGTTTCCCTACATACAAAGCATGTAGAGGTCTGTAATTTTTATCATAGGTACACTTCAACTGTGAGAGACGGAATCTAAAACAAAAATCCAGAAAATCACATTGTATGATTTTTAAGTAATTAATTAGCATTTTATTGCATGACATAAGTATTTGATCACCTACCAACCAGTAAGAATTCCGGCTCTCACAGACCTGTTAGTTTTTCTTTAAGAAGCCCTCCTGTTCTCCACTCATTACCTGTATTAACTGCACGTGTTTGAACTCGTTACCTGTATAAAAGACACCTGTCCACACACTCAATCAAACAGACTCCAACCTCTCCACAATGGCCAAGACCAGAGAGCTGTGTAAGGAGCTGTGTAAGGACATTTGTAGACCTGCACGAGGCTGGGATGGTCTACAGGACAATAGGCAAGCAGCTTGGTGAGAAGGCAACAACTGTTGGCGCAATTATTAGAAAATGGAAGAAGTTCAAGATGACGGTCAGTCACCCTCGGTCTGGGGCTCTATGCAAGATCTCACCTCGTGGGGCATCAATGATCATGAGGAAGGTGAGGGATCAGCCCAGAACTACACGGCAGGACCTGGTCAATGACCTGAAGAGAGCTGGGACCACAGTCTCAAAGAAAACCATTAGTAACACACTACGCCTTCATGGATAAAAATCCTGCAGCGCACACAAGCTCCCCCTGCTCAAGCCAGTGCATGTCCAGGCCCGTCTGAAGTTTGCCAATGACCATCTGGATGATCCAGAGGAGGAATGGGAGAAGGTAATGTGGTCTGATGAGACAAAAATAGAGCTTTTTGGTCTAAACTCCACTCGCCGTGTTTGGAGGAAGAAGGATGAGTACAACCATCAATCAATCAATCAATTTTATTTTATATAGCCCTTCTTACATCAGCTAATATCTCGAAGTGCTGTACAGAAACCCAGCCTAAAACCCCAAACAGCTAGTAATGCAGGTGTAGAAGCACGGTGGCTAGGAAAAACTCCCTAGAAAGGCAAAACCTAGGAAGAAACCTAGAGAGGAACCAGGCTATGAGGGGTGGCCAGTCCTCTTCTGGCTGTGCCGGGTGGAGATTATAACAGAACCATGCCAAGATGTTCAAAAATGTTCATAAGTGACAAGCATGGTCAAATAATAATCAGGAATAAATCTCAGTTGGCTTTTCATAGCCGATCATTAGAGTTTAAAACAGCAGGTCTGGGACAGGTAGGGGTTCCATAACCGCAGGCAGAACAGTTTAAACTGGAATAGCAGCAAGGCCAGGCGGACTGGGGACAGCAAGGAGTCACCACGGCCGGTAGTCCCGACGTATGGTCCTAGGGCTCAGGTCTCTCAGTTGGCTTTTCATAGCCGATCATTTAGAGTTGAAAACAGCAGGTCTGGGACAGGTAGGGGTTTCGTAGCCGCAGGCAGAACAGTTGAAACTGGAATAGCAGCAAGGCCAGGCGGACTGGGGACAGCAAGGTGTCATCATGCCCGGTAGTCCTGACGTATGGTCCTAGGGCTCAGGTTCTCAGAGAGAAAGAGAGAACGAGAGAATTAGAGAGAGCATACTTAAATTCACACAGGACACTGGATAAGACAGGAGAAGTACTCCAGGTATAACCAACTAACCCCAGCCCCCCGACACATAAACTACTGCAGCATAAATACTGGAGGCTGAGACAGGAGCGGTCCGGAGACACTGTGGCCCCATCCGAAGAAACCCCCGGACAGGGCCAAACAGGAAGGATATAACCCCACCCACTCCGCCAAAGCACAGCCCCCGCACCACTAGAGGGATATCCCCAACCACCAACTTACAATCCTGAGACAAGGCCGAGTATAGCCCACAGAGGTCTCCACCACAGCACAAACCAAGGGGGGGGCGCCAACCCAGACAGGAAGATCACGTCAGTAACTCAACCCACTCAAGTGACGCACCCCTCCCAGGGACGGCATGAAAGAGCACCAGCAAGCCAGTGACTCAGCCCCTGCAACAGGGTTAGAGGCAGAGAACCCCAGTGGAGAGGGGAACCGGCCTGGCAGAGACAGCAAGGGCTGTTCGTTGCTCCAGCCTTTCCGTTCACCTTCACACTCCTGGGCCAGACTACACTCAATCATATGACCTACTGAAGAGATAAGTCTTCAGTAAAGACTTAAAGGTTGAGACAGAGTCTGCGTCTCTCACATGGGTAGGCAGACTGTTCCATAAAAATGGAGATCTATAGGAGAAAGCCCTGCCTCCCGCTGTTTGCTTAGAAATTCTAGGGACAATTAGGAGGCCTGCGTCTTGTGACCGTAGCGTACGTATTGGTATGTACGGCAGGACCAACTCGGAAAGATAGGTAGGAGCAAGCCCATGTAACGCTTTATAGGTTAACAGTAAAACCTTGAAGGTCATTTACCACCTTCACAAGTGCAGTCTCAGTGCTATGATGGGGTCTAAAACCAGACTGAAGCATTTCGTATACATTGTTTGTCTTCAGAAAGGCAGTGAGTTGCTGCGCAACAGCTTTTTCTAAAATTTTTGAGAGGAATGGAAGATTCGATATAGGCCGATAGTTTTTTATATTTTCCGGGTCAAGGTTTGGCTTTTTCAAGAGAGGCTTTATCACTGCCACTTTTAGTGAGTTTGGTACACATCCGGTGGATAGAGAGCTGTTTATTATGTTCAACATAGGAGGGCCAAGCACAGGAAGCAGCTCCTTCAGCAGTTTAGTAGGAATAGGATCCAGTATGCAGCTTGAAGGTTTAGAGGCCATGATTATTTTCATCATTGTGTCAAGAGATATAGTACTAAAACACTTAAGTGTCTCTCCCGATCCCAGGCCCTCGCAGAGCTGTGCAGATCCAGGACAGCTAAGCCCTGGAGGAATACGCAGATTCAAAGAGGAGTCCGTAATTTGCTTTCTAATGGTCATGATCTTTTCCTCAAAGAAGTTCATGAATTTATCACTGCTGAAGTGAAAACCATCCTCTCTTGGGGAATGCTGCTTTTTAGTTAGCTTTGCAACAGTATCAAAAAGAAATTTTGGATTGTTCTTATTTTCCTCGATTAATTTGGAAAAGTAGGATGATCGAGCAGCAGTGAGGGCTCTTCGGTACTGCACGGTACTGTCTTTCCAAGCTAGTCGGAAGACTTCCAGTTTGGTGTGGCGCCATTTCCGTTCCAATTTCCTGGAAGCTTGCTTCAAAGCTCGGGTATTTTCTGTATACCAGGGAGCTAGTTTCTTATGACAAATGTTTTTCGTTTTTAGGGGTGCAACTGCATCTAGGGTATTGCGCAAGGTTAAATTGAGTTCCTCAGTTAAGTGGTTAACTGATTTTTGTCCTCTGACGTCCTTGGGTAGGCAGAAGGAGTCTGGAAGGGCATCAATTAATTTTTGTGTTGTCTGAGAATTTATAGCACGACTTTTGATGCTCCTTGGTTGGGGTCTGACAGCCGATTGCAAACGTATAAAACGTGCCGAAGCAGGATGGTGGAAAACATTAAGATCAACATTTTTGGGACAATGGGTCCAGAGTATGATGGGCAGTGAGTAGGCCAGAGCTGTTGGACAAACCCACTGACGTAATGGGAAAGACAGGGGTTGTGTGCAACCCCAAGAACACCATCCCAACCGTGAAGCATGAAGGTGGAAACATCATTCTTTGGGGATGCTTTTCTGCAAAGGGGACAGGACAGTTGCACCGTATTGAGGGGAGGATGGATGGGGCCATGTATCGCGAGATCTTGGCCAACAACCTCCTTCCCTCAGTAAGAGCATTGAAGATGGGTCGTGGCTGGGTCTTCCAGTATGACAACGACCCGAAACACACAGCCAGGGCAACTAAGGAGTGGCTCCGTAAGAAGCATCTCAAGGTCCTGGAGTGGCCTAGCCAGTCTCCGAAACCTAAAGGATCTGGAGAAGGTCTGTATGGAGGAGTGGGCCAAAATCCCTGCTGCAGTGTGTGCAAACCTGGTCAAGACCTACAGGAAACGTATGATCTCTGTAATTGCAAACAAAGGTTTCTGTACCAAATATTAAGTTCTGCTTTTCTGATGTATCAAATACTTAGGTCATGCAATAAAATGCACATGAATTACTTAAAAATCATACAATGTGATTTTCTGGATTTTTGTTTTAGATTCCGTCTCACAGTTGAAGTGTACCTATGATAAAAATTACTCTACATGCTTTGTAAGTAGGAAAACCTGCAAAATCGGCAGTGTATCAAATACTTGTTCTCCCCACTGTATGTATTATTGTGTATCGCTCTTACAGGGTTCCTTTTGGTAATGTCAGCCATGCCATCAGTCTCCTGGACTTTCGACTGGAGCCAGTAGAACCGGAACTCCGTCTGTTAATGGGAAAACAAACACTATCATCAACAAAGCTGCCTTTAAAATCCCCAAATGACAGATGAATTGGTCAACATGGCAAAAACGAGGACATCTGTAGCCCAGACACTAGTACTCCAGTACTGTAATTCCACTGGAACTTCAATGCTCTACTATGGCAATGGAGATAATGGTAGAGAAAATATAACTTTTAAAAGCAAACATGAACATGTTTTTAATCAATTTGTGTGTGCTTACCGGACAGTCATACACTGGATGGCCCCTCCAACACATGACATCCAGGATGAAGTAGGTCCGCTCCACCTCACTGTAGATACAGTCCAGGATGGTGTAATCTGCACACAGACCGAACATTAGCACTACCATTTATAGTCATATATTTTTGCATGGATGCACAGTTTGCAATGACAGTGGTAGAATAGATGGGGTGTGTCTTTTTTGGGTTCCACTTTGATTCCTAGCCCCTCCTCGCTCCAAACCCTCAGGGTGTTCACAGATCTGAAAGTATTGGATAGGTTAAGTAATAATGGTGGATGCTCTGCTTTGCCTATTGGAAGGCTAATTGGAACCATTACCATATTGATAAGATAGTACTTTATTAATCCTCAAAGGGGAAATTTGATTGCACCAGCCAATACATACAAAACCTACCCCCACCCAGTCCTGTTAAATCTGTGAACCCTAACGGGGTGGAGGAACTGGAAGCTACAGATTGAAATGGGACCAGGCCCACGTACCTTTTCCCATTGCAGAGTTGTGTCTGTTCCCTCCAGGCAACAGAGAAGGGAAGCGGTTCACACAGTAACCACTTTTGGTGTATGCTGCAGTGGACCCCTTCAAAATGGTGGGGAAACAGAGACGCGACAATGAAAAAGTTCTCTCACTTCAGTCAAATCATATATTCAATCAAACATTCGACAACTCCATATAACAAACAGTGTACTCTACATTATGCTGTATTATGATACCCCAGGAAACAGATATGACTGTTCAGATAATGATAAAATAGGTTATGCCAAATCTAGAATCGGGTGAAAGAATAGGCCTAGAAGAGTTCACAGTTTATTTACGCTGATGGAATGACAGCTAATTTTAACCCAACGGTGGTTATCATCAATGTCATGACCACACAATGACCACATTCATGATCTCCAAAAGTTTGTCTTTTTCACACAGAGACAGCTCTTAAAATTAACATGAAAAGAAATGGCTGTGCTCGAGAGCATCAAAACCGCGATGTATTATGGGTAAATTGTGACTACTGATCTACAAATAATATTGAGTAGTTTTTCTGTAGTTATACATACTGTTTTACCCACTTTATATGTATATACTGTATTCTAGTCATGGCTCATCCTTTAGACATTTTTCACACCCCTTCACTTTTTCCACATTTTGTTGTGTTACAAAGTGGGATTAAAATTGATTTAATTGTACTTTTTCAACAACGATCTACAAAATACTCTGTGATATCAAAGTGGAAGAAAAATTCTAACATTTATAAAAAATGTATAATAATAATCTTGATTAGATACATTTTCACCCCCCTGAGAAAATACATGTTAGAAACACCTTTGGAAGTGATTACAACTTTAAGACCTAAGAGCTTTGCACGCCTAGATTGTACAATATTTGCCCATTATCCATTTTAAAATGATTCAAGCTCTGTCAAGTTGGTTGTTGATCATTGCTAGAAAGCCATTTTTAAGTATTGCCATAGATTCTCTAGCCGATTTAAGTCTAAACTGTAACTAGGCCACTCATGAACATTCAATGTTGTCTTGGTAAACAACTCCAGCGTATATTTGGCCTTGTGTTTTAGGTTATTGTCCTGCTGAAAGGTACATTTGTCTCCTCTAGGATTTTGCCTGTGCTTAGCTCTATTCAGTTTTTTTTTTAACTCCCTAGTCCTTGCTGATGACAAGCATACCCATAACATGATGCAGCCACCACCATGCTTGAAAATATGAAGAGTGATATTCAGTGATGTGTTGTGTCGGATTTGCCCCAAACATAACACGTTGTAATCAGGACAAAAAATACAAATCTTTGCCACATTTCTTTGCAGTATTACTTAAGTGTAGTGCTGAGCAACTAGTGCTTTTTGAGGTAGGTTCGCTTTCTTATTTTTTTTTTACATTAAATGCATTATGAATAATGCTGTTACAATGATTTTATACATTTTTATGGAAATGTAAAAGCCAAAAATAGTGAACACTCGATTGCCAAAACACTGAAAATATTCCATTGTCTCTGTCAGGTCCACATTGGGTAGACATCGATAGAAAAATAGGAAATTACTATGAAATTGTGTATATTACTTAGCTTATATTTGATGTCTATTATTTTTCATTCTTTAAAGTAATAATCTAATCTCTGCTCAGGCAGTAGCAGTCAGCCAGCCCGGCCATCTAATGTTATGTGCTCCCCATACTGTACTGTCTTTAATCATTCTATTAAGATAGCCTGCCTAAGATGCTAGGCAGAGCAGTCTGACAAATACATTTGACTAGTTCTTCAAGGTAGATAATGTATACATTCTCTGTCCTTCTCGTCGCTGTGTTGCGTACATTCCTCTCTCATGCGGTCTATGCAGTCTCTGTACATCTAACCCAACGTAGCGAGCGTAAAAGTGTATCCATCCAAAAATCTGTATATAATGACGAGATGCTCATGTCTATGTTCTAACAATGGGAGCCATCCCGAAGCCGGGAAGGCTTAGGTCAAAAGCCTTGTTCCAAAATAAACCCAGAGAAATGCATTCTGCTTATTTTGGACTGATTTTGGCGTGAGAGAAACTTCTCGCCTCTTCCTCTCTGATATGAGCCGGGAAAAACTAGTGCAATGGATTATGGTCATTGTAGTTCATTACCACGTTTCTGCACTGAACTAGGTTGAATATTTGCTTACTGAAAACTACAACTCCCTTCAGCCAAGCGACCCACATAGTTCTTGACTTGATTTCTCACATTTCTCTCATGAATGATTTGATTTATTTAAAGAAATGACGCTTTGGGCTTACAAAAAAATGAAATGGTATTCAAGTAATTTAATTCAAGTAATTGAACTGTTCCGGATGACTGTGTGATCACACTCTCCGTAGCCGATATGAGTAAGACCTTTAAACAGCTCAACATTCACAAGGCCGCAGGGCCAGACGGATTAGCAAAACGTGTACTCCGAGCATGCGCTGACCAACTGGCAAGTGTCTTCACTGACATTTTCAACCTGTCCTGATTGAGTCTGTAATACCAACATGTTTCAATCAGACCACCAGTCCCTGTGCCCAAGAACACTAAGGTAACCTGCCTAAATGACTACCGACCCGTAGCACTCACGTCTGTAGCCATGAAGTGCTTTGAAAGGCTAGTCATGGCTCACATCAACACCATTATCCCAGAAACCCTAGACCCACTCCAATTTGCATACCGTCCCAACAGATTCACAGATGATGCAATCTCTATTGCACTCCACACTGCTCTTTCCTACCTGGACAAAAGGAACACCTACGTGAGAATGTTATTCATTGACTACAGCTCAGCGTTCAACACCATCGTGCCCTCAAAGCTCATCACTAAGCTAAGGACCCTGGGACTAAACACCTCCCTCTGCAACTGGATCCTGGACTTCCTGACGGGCCGCCCCCAGGTGGTAAGGGTAGGCAACAACAAATCTGCCACGCTGATCCTCAACACGGGGGCCCCTCAGGGGTGCGTGCTCAGTCCCCTCCTGTACTCCCTGTTCACCCAAGTTCCTTGGTGTCCACATCACCAACAAACCATCATGGTCCAAACACACCAAGACTGTCGTGAAGAGGGCACGACAAAGCCTATTCCCCCTTAGGAGACTGAAAAGATTTGGCATGGGTCCCCAGATCCTCAAGAAGTTCTACAGCTGCACCATCGAGAGCATCCTGACTGGTTGCATCACTGCCTGGTATGGCAACTGCTCAGCCTCCGACTGCAAAGCACTACAGAGGGTAGTGCGTACGGCCCAGTACAACACTGGGGCCAAGCTTCCTGCCATCCAGGACCTCTATACCAGGCGGTGTCAGAGAAAGGCCCTAAAAACTGTCAAAGACTCCAGCCACCCTAGTCATAAACTGTTCTCTCTGCTACCGCACAGCAAGCGGTACCGGAGCGCCAAGTCTAGGTCCAAAAGGCTACTTAACAGCTTCTACCCCCAAGCTACAAGACTCCTGAACAGCTAATTGTAAGTAAGCATTTCACTGCAATGTCTGCACCTGTTGTATTCGGCGCATGCGACCAATAAAATTTGATTTGATTTGATTTGATTTAATCAAATGGCTACCCAGACTATTTGCATTGTCACCCCCTCCCTCTTTTATGTTGCTGCTACTCTGTTTATTATCTATGCATAGTCTATGCATGTACATATTACCTCAATTACCTCGACTAACCTGTGCCCCCGCACATTGACTCTGTACCGGTACCCCCTGTATATAGCCTCGCTACTGTTACTTTACTGCTGTTATTTAATTATTTTGTACTTATCTATTTTTTACTTAACACTTATTTTTCTTAAAACTGCATTGTTGGTTTAGGGCTTGTAAATAAGCATTTCCCTATAAGGTCTACACCGGTTGTATTCGGCGCATGCGACAAATAAAATAGGATTTGATTTGAATTAGTTGTTTAATAACAACAACTAAATGTTGGTTCATCGCTCAGCACTAAAGTGCATTGTTGCAAACAGCATGCATGTTTTGTAATATTTTTAGTCTGTACAGGCTTCCTTCTTTTCACTCTGTCAATTAGGTTAGTATTGTGGAGAAACTACAAGGTTGTTGATCCATCCTTGTTATTCTCTTATCACAACCATTAAACTCTGTTTCAAAATCACCATTTGCCACGTGGTGAAATCCCTGAGCAGTTTCCTTCCTCTCCGGCAAATGAGTTAGGAAGGACGCCTGTATCTTTGTAGTGACTGGGAGTATTGATACGCCATCCAAAGCCTAATTAATAACTTCACCGTGCTCAAAGGGATATTCAGCGTCTCCTTTTTTCTTTATTGAGATATTGAAAAACCTCCCTGGGCTTTGTGGTTGAATCGGTGCTTGAAATTCACTACTCAATTGAGGGACCTGACAGATAATTGTATGTGTGAGGTACAGAGATGGGGTACTCATAAAAAAAGAAAATCATGTTAACACTGTTATTGAACACAGAATGAGTCTATGCAACTTATGTGATTTGTTAAGCACATTTTTACTCCTGAACTTATTTAGGCTTGCATAACAAAGGGGTTGAATACCTATTGACTTTCATTTTAAAAAAAAAAGTTCTACAAACAAAATTCCACTTTGACATTACAGGGTATGTGTGTAGGCCAGTGACACACAATCTCAATTTAAAAAATGTTAAATTCAGGCTGTAACACAACAAAATGTGGAAAGGTCAAGGGGTAAGAAATACTTTCTGAAGGCACTGTAACTACTGCTGTACACACACACACACACACACCTTTCTATTCATATACTGTCCATACTGTCTTTACACACTATTAAATGTATGTATGTATGTATGTATGTATGTATGTATGTACACTACCGGTCAAAAGTTTTAGAACACCTACTCATTCAAGGTTTTATTTTTATTTTTTACTATTTTCTACATTGTAGAATAATAGTGAAGACTTCAAAACTATGAAATAACATATATGGAATCATGTAGTAACCAAAAAAGTGTTAAACAATTTTTGAGGGAACATTGGCTGTAACCCAACAA